ACGTATGATCTATAGTTACCCAGTGATATTTTGAGACAGATTTACTACTATTTTCCTAAGTATCATTTTAGTTATTCTGCCTCATAAATCTAGTCAGTCCAGCTATATGATTTCTGCATAATCAGACAAATAATACCTTGACCATCCTCGACTAACACAATCACTTTGACAAATCTGAAAAATCATCGATAGCTTACTCATTACTCATTTTTGAATTTATGATATAAGATTATGACTCAGTTTTCGTTCAGATCGAATTTTCTATCGATTAAGTATATTGTATACTGGGTGTCCCATTGAAAACATATTTTGACATAACTCGTGAACGTAATGTTTTTTTATCTCCTGGAGCGCAGGAATGGAAAATCCTATGATGTTCGAAGAACATCGTGCGTACCAAGGCCCTTGGTACGCACGATGGTCCAAGGGAGGGTAGGGAGAAGAGCTAGGTGTTGGATTTTTCACTTTTGGAGGTTATGAGTTCTTCGGAATACTCCCATTGGTGTTGTACATAAATTAACATCAATTTTCAAGTGGTTATTAGTAATATTTGATGAAGTTTCTGTAATTATGTATGCATGAAGTAGGTGGAGACAAACAAATCGAATCGATTTGTCTGTTCAGTATTGTAAACCAGGTTTTATCGAGATGGAGCAGTTTTATCGAATTATTGGCCTTAATCACGCATTTCCTATTATTGTTCGAAATCACTCAAATGTCTAATTCTGACATCTGAAATAGTTATTTGTACACCAAGGTAGTGAAGAATATCTTTATCACCCAGGGACCAAGATTATATCCCGAAATTAGTGGGAATCTCATTTGGATCTCTTATCACCTAGAGCTACGAAAAGTGTTATTTTTCCATGCTTTTCCACTCACTTTTCTGGTACGGATAATCCCTCAAATACAAAGTTATATTATAGTTGAAGGCGCTCACAATTGTTTGTATTCTGACCAATACAACAAATAAAATTTCGTATTTCACCTCTATGATATTATTTTCTAAAATGAAAATTACCGAATAGACGTAAAACATGCTGTTTTGTACCCATTATTTCTAACGCTGTAAGAAGAGACTGCGGAATTTTTCAAATAGAAAAATATTGGTGGAAGGTATTTGTGAACGTTTTCAACTGACATTTTCACGATCGAGAAAATCTATTTTCGGGGCACTACAACCCAGCGAGCACAAACATCCTGAAGATGTTATTTTGAGACGTAATATGCACTGACCAAAGAGGTCTTTGAAGGATATTGAAGTATTGTTTTTGTTCTTCTGTGGCATGTCTTTGTTTGCCTACTGAGAGGTATCCCTGGGATGTTTTGGGATGTTTCAGAAATGTAGGCATGAGGATTTTTTTTGAGGCGTAATATGCACTTCTCAAAGAGGTCTTAGAAGGATATTGAAAGTATTGTTTTTGTTCTTTTGTGCCCTTTCTTTGTTTGTCCCACCACAACGTCTCATGCTTATGTCACAACACGATGAATTTTGATTTGTTTTCGATTTTGTTCTTCTTGTTCGCAATTGGCATTCGCGTTTGCAGCGTGTCACCCTTACATCACGCTGCTAACGAACAGAAAGGAATTTGGTGAAGTTTATTGTGTTAGAAGACTTATTCAGTTTGTGATAATGACCATCAGATGCAAGATGTGTTGTTCGGTGCCTCAGTGTAATCAATATATAAAAGTACGAATTCATCAATACACAACTTCTCCGCGCAGTTGCAAAATTATGCATTGTGGAGAACATTTCAAAAATTGGGAAACCTATTTCCAATTATATGTCTGTGTGTAGTAAGCACTTCTCAGAAACCGATTAAGGAGGTAATTACATATCAGGAAAATATTTTTATGTTCAATCTATTTTTAATGCATTTTTTCATTCAAGGGAAATGGAATCCTAATGCAAAAGTTCATTTTGACAAAAGGCTTCAGAAAAGTACCTCGAAAATGGTTTTTTACAGCGATTTAATGTGCGCAAGACGCGTTGAAAATGTTCTGTTGTGTCCATGAAAAGGCTTCAAAAAGAACTAGGGAGAAGGTAGTTTTGTGACATATCTAGGACATCTCGATAATTGTCGCCTGCGGCGGACATTGGCTGTTCTATAATAGTTCTATTCATGTGTAAACAGAACATCGCAGTGGAGGTTCAATGTCTCGAAATCTCGTACTTTACTCTGAGATGTTTTTGTGCTCGCTGGGAATTACGGGCAAGTCGTAGCTTTCTTGTCTTTGACGCTGATAACGTAACCGAGTGACAATTATTGGTTATTTTCAGGCAGTGTTCCTTATACTATGATTCATGGTCACATTTCAAAAAACTACAACACCAACGATGAATTAGTCAGGCACCAATTCGATAGTGAATAAGGCAAGCATGAAATATGATAAAAAATTGTCGTCTTCTCGTACAACTATAGAAAGAATGTGGCAACCGAGTTTTTGTACCATTCATTAGCTATTCCACCTCATTCAATTCATGGTGTCAACAATCAACAAAGACACAAAAAAATATGACTAGAGATTCAACATAATAATATATTATGACTGAAATACGAATATCTTTGATTAATTCAGATTTTCATTTCCATTGAAGGTGCAATGCCATTCACTTTCTATATTCAGCATTGTTCATCATATCATTAAAATCGTGATGATGAAAATTAACTCTGTATTAAATTTACAAATGAAATCATGTAGAATTTAAGTGACAGTGATTTTGATAGGTATATAGAAGTTTGTATCCAGCGCTTGCATGAAGTTGGGAAGTATCAGTGCCGGATTTATACCCTCTTCCTCCTTCAGAACGTGAAAGTTCTCAGATACGGTTCTGTCGGTTCTCATTCTATCTCATTTGAACTGAGAAAAAATGAAAGTATTTTAGTGCCTCTCTTGACAACTTCATCCAACTTCATTTGTTTATTCATCTTCTGCCGTTTCCAGAATGCACCACTTTCTTTTTTACTCATATTTTTGAAATCCAGTTTCAATATTGATCATTATTATACCAACGAAAACCTATTGAGTACTGAATTCTGGTTTTGTTATTTGCTTATTGGTTTTTTCATCTTCATCAAATAAAAGTATGTATATTCCGCAGCCGCTCTTGTATATAGAGGCGCAGCTGACGCTTGATTATAGTGAATGATATGATTTTCACAAAAACAGTATCCCAACCTCCGAACAACAAACTTCCTGTATGATCGAATATCCCAATCCTTTTGGCGACATATAAAAGGCAAGAAGCAATATTATACTTGCCGCCTCGTCGGCGATGAGTATATTGCTGCTTGCTTTTTTTCCTTTTTTCCCCGCCTCTTAAAATCCACCGCCGGGGGCTGATAGTCACATAGCCCTCCCCTATATCCGGCACTGGGAAGTATACTGATAAATATCGCAAGTAGATATTGAAAATACAGTATTCATCAAGATGTTTCGAAATATTTTAACCTTATGAATATCGCAGATGATACCATTGAACAATCATTTAGCTGATCTACATAATAAATCATATCGTATTGACCGCCGCCATAGCTGAAATCGTTGCGATTGGTCAAAACATATGATTTGTGTTGTGATATCCTCAGGATTAATATTAATCAAATTATTTCAAATATTTTCATAACTTATAAAATTGCTTTCAACTGTAATGAATTTCGTATAGTTTTAACTATCAAAGAAAAAACAAGATACACCAAGTCGGTCGACCACAAAATTTATATTACACAATTACTATTGTGACTAGTTTCGGCTAAACAGCCATCTTCAGACACAAATTAAATAAAGTACCTGTAAGAGATGAAATTACAGATGAACAATAAGTTTGCTGAGGAAAAAACATACCTAGGCCATGTGGTGATTACAAATTCAACAAATAAAAAATCAAGCGGTTATTTCAACGTGAATAATCAGTCCGGTAAGGGGGTGATTAAATTTTTATAACGGCTGAACAGCCAAAAGAATCTTATAATCGTGAGGTTCAACATTAGCACGAGTCGAGTCGACTTGTTTCCTAGTTTTGTTCATTCTTTTGATGTGAAATTTCAGAAAATTCCGGAATATTGAATTTGTTCAACAAAACAATTCGTCGAATGGATATATAGTTTCTCTTGAATCAACAAACTATTTCATTGAATTAACCAAATATTTTATTGAATCAAGCAAATATTTCATTGAATCAACCAAATATTTCTTTGAATCAACCAAATATTTCGTTGAATCAACTAAATATTTGATTGAAGCAATATCTTATTATTTTGAATCAAACAAAATGATTGTTTAAGCCAATTCAATATCTCTTCAAAACCATTAATGGATGTGCTTGATTGAAGAAGATCCAGAGTTCATGCAAGACATATTTACTTGATTCAAACTCCAAATTTGGTCTGAAACAAGATATAGATTTACTCATTTCAAGATTATATTTTGTCGTGCATATATGACACTTTTATTTGCTCCATTCAATAAAATTTTGCTTGATTCAACAATTCCTTTTTTTCCGTGCGACAATATTGACAGTTTTGTCTACCTAGGTAACATTTCTTTATCAATTTATTATTATATTAACCTAGGTTTGACAAGTGTTACTTGCACCTGGGGTGCAAATTAACAATATTTTTTCATTAAGTTCCATCATCATAGGATGTCTACTTACAAAATCGTTAATATCCTCAGAGGTACTCTCAATCTGGTGTAATATCTTTTCAGTTTCCATCGCCTCAAAAAAAAACAGGAAAAAGGAGGTGATACATTAATATTGCACTGCACACAATTCAGAATCAATTATATAGCGTCAAAATAATGAAAAAGTTCATATGAACATCATGCTTGGGAACACGTTCTACTACTGTTATAAATATCGAAGGAAACGCTTCCTCCGATGTATCTGCAATTTCCCCATTTTGTAAAATGGACCAACACAAAAATACATTCCTTTGTCTTTGAGGTTTTCTGAATGTCACTTCTTCTTCGAGTAGAAGTAAATTTGGTGTTCTTACCTCTGTGGTTAAAAATGAACTTGTATATGTTAAGGTGGATAACTTCATAACATCAACCAAGAAAACGGCACCACATAAGCATCTGAACATAATAGTTTTATACCAAGTAGCTCTCTCCAAGCCCCTGACTAGATACATGACGTACATAAGCAAGCTGAGAAAGCATTGGAGAACAGTAAAAAGAGAAGATATGGCAAAAATATCGTTCAGTTCTTCTGTGAGACTGTGGATGTGGTAGTATCTCATTCGCAGATTTTCTAGAATATCGGCGAATAAGCCTTCATCGTACCTGTAATAAAATCATGAGAAAGGTAATGAATGTTTGAAGCAGATCATGATATCCTTGGAAATTGTGCCAGCATCGTAGGTGGCTTTTGTAGAAGCTTGAACGTGTTCACAGAGTCCAATTAGCATTTCAGCAACATTCTCACCTCAAGTATTCGGAATGATTTTCCATCACAAGCTTCGCCTTTTTGGTTTTGAAATACTTTTTCCAAGTTCGCACCAGAGCTTTGAGTTCTTGGTTGACCCATCTGAATTTCTCTTTCATAACTAGCATGCATCCACAAAATTGCAGTATCACAAAACTTGAGGTGAATAAAGGGATGGTGTAAGTCAGCACCCCGTTGGTATCTCCCAGAGTGACAGTGGTTGGAAAGAAACTGAGGACATCAATGACGAAAGTGATGGAATTTTGAAGGATGGCTATCCAGGATGAGACCAGACTGAAAATTCTTATTTTTCTGTGGCTCCTGAGATAATCCACGTTTTTGAAATGTGCCTCCATCATTTTGTCATGTATATGTACTTTGTATGTCCAATCTATGAGCTGAAAATCATAAATGATAAAATTCAGGAAGGCAATCTGTTCATCAATCACCTATTGAACATTCATGCAACCATATCAAAATAATGGATAGAATTTTATGCCGTGTTCAGAATTATCAAAATGTACTCATTTCCTTCCTACACAGAAACAGTGTAGGATGAAGGAAGACCACCGAGGAAAGAAATTCGCCCGAACCTTTTTCAATCAATGAATCATGATTTACATTTTCTTTTCATCGCGATGGTTGAAATCCTTTATGGACACCATATGGGTCCAATCCCCCATATGATAGTGTGGGAGTCAGGGGACTCCAGGGTATACCCACTAAACACTCCACCCCGTTTGTAGGCTCGTCTGACCGAAGTCTCCGACGACACTTAGGCCTAGTGGCCCATTGTATCTTACCTAAATGCCGTTATCAATTTTACCATATACGACTGATGGTGCTTATTAAGGGCCACTTCAATATATACCATATACCACTTTTGGATAGAATCATATCGAAATTATAGAATCCGCCTTATTGGATCCACCATCTTGAATTTCCTCATTTTCAGGAATTTCACTACTTATTATCCTATTCCGGACTAAGAGAAATCCAAGAAACCAAATATCATAAAAATCGGTCCAGCCGTTCTTGAATTATAAATGGTGTAACTATAACACGATTTCAAAGATTAGGCGACGGTGAACTCTGTTGAAGAAAGAAAATTCGGGAGATTCAAGTCAACCAAAACCAATGAATTAAAAACAATCATCCAATAACTGTTCAGGAATTCCAAATCACCCAAAAATTTCCACTATCGATGAATTAGGAGGGAGCTAAAATTACCACAACATGCTTATAGCTGCAGCTATACAGGGATCACGGAGAAGACCTTTTTAAGCCAATATGAAGACAGAACAGACAGACAGACAGAACAGTTTCAATTCATAAAAATTCCAATTTTCCATGTGTAGAATAATGTTTGCAAATTCGAAATCATCCTGCGAAACAGCTCCTGAGGTTACTGTGGATTTATAGTAGATACCATCAATGGACCAACTTCAGCAAGAATAATAATCATCTCGGAGGATTGTTTATAGCACTAGTTCATAAAATGAACGAAAATGGTAATGTGGTAATGACTTTCAGTTTCTCTCTCTTTGTGACCATTGCATTCCACTTTGAGTATTTGGCTTTTTCCCTAGTTGAAAATACGCCAGTCGGGCAACCAGCCACTCCCATTTCACCTGAAATGGGATTTTGTTTCGGAGTGTTTCTTTCCTTGCCAGGTGGCATTCGGCGTTCGCGTTTTCATTTCGCGAACTTCGAACGCCTCGTATGGTATAAATGCTGAGATGCGTTTACATTGGCTCAGATTCGCACCAGATAGCGGCCAAGAAGGTATCTTGGGCAGCCTTGTACTAATGTGAGCCAACTGCTCGAAACCGGTCTGCAGGAAGTCACGCGTTCCTGAACCACTTAAGCACAGCTCATCTTTTAGGAAGGAAACACTCGCGATTTTACTCGTTTATACGGACTATTGCATAGATTTCGGGAGGATGTAATGTAATGTAAATGTTCTGCGTGGCATATAGCCAGGAAAGTAGTTATTTTTTTCTCGTTATCTACCATTTTCGTTCATTTCATGAACTAGTGTGGTAATGACTTTGAGTTTCTCTCTCTTTGTGGTTGTTCAAATATGCCCACCAGATGTCGTATCGGAATCGTCTCCTTCCCTATACTCTTTTCTCTTTCAAACATTTTTCAAACAGAGATAGTATTCATCTGAATGGACTATTCGGTAGGTATATTTGATATCGACTAACGTATAGCACTCCAAATGATAACCTAGATGTATCTAGTATTGGGAATAATTCCTAGATATGTTAAATCTTGACCTCGTTAATACTTCAATTCAGAGACTTTTTCGTAATGCTCGACTTCCCGCATACTTTTCCATGACCTGTCCGAGCAGAAAAATCTAAGCAGTGTTTCATGACTCTTCGAGCTGCAAAAATCCGCATTTCATGTTATGTCCCAGCGAGACACATAAATCCCAATGGCTATGCCACGGTTATCAATTAATATTTTTATGGGAATATGATGTTCCGCTCTTTTGACGTTAGACCGCGCTCGTTTGTCGTTTGTTCATTGTCTTGGAGGGCACGGTCGAGCAAAAATGGGAAATCGTGGTTTCGGACTCACGACAAAATTATCGGTTTCTTTTCACGATGATATGCAGAAAATACTCTGGAGCATTCGCGAGCGACAGCTAACCCAATGAACTGTTACAGATATCTCAACCTTTCGTCGCTGCATTATCATTTCGTGTATGAGTCGATATTGCCGGGCAGATATTCAGAGCTTGTGGAAGTCTATTTTCTGAACTGAATAAATTATTCAGAATAATTGTATAATGGCTGATAAACATCTTAGAACCAGGTCAAAGGCATTATTATCAAATCAGAGAGCTAGGGAGATATCGTCAACGGCGGAGGGTACTATGACACCGTTACACAGTAAAAAGAATAGAGTGAAATTGAACACTATACCTGTTCCCAGGAGGACCACTGAGCTTTAGAATAAATGATGCAACTCTATAGTTCAGTATGAGATATTATAGTGTGATTTTTTCAACTCAATTAGTGTAAATTTTCGATTCAAGCATATTCAAACTTTCTCTATTTTCCTCTCTAAATACATATATTGAATAAACACAAAAATATAGAGTTACTCCCCTAATAACACAACTCGGTCCATCAATGGACGTCCTATGGACATCCTCCTCTGGACATCTCGGACAGCCATAGGACATCCAGTTTGTGTACACTGGATGACGTATGGACATCCATAGGATATCGCGTTCCCAACTTTTCAGCAATCCATATGGTATCCATCATGGACATCTATATGGCATTTGTCAAGGTCATCCATATGGTATCTGTCTTGGACATACATATGGTAAATTTATTCAGATGTCTTAAATGTATGCTTTCATATTATATATAGGAATGAGATCTGGTCAATAAATAGAATCTATGTTTCTGGTTGTTATATTTATTTCAAATGTGATTATATTCAAGAACACTAGGTACTATTTATAATATTCTATATCTGATTGGTGTGATATGTTGTTTCTATTGACACCTTCCTCCATCATTTCAGTTTGGTTGACTTGACACAATCAACACTCAATTTCAGATCCGTTCTACTAGTTGAAATTCTTCGACATCTTCATCAACACATCCTGGGATGGCTCTTCACTTTCAGATTATTACAATAATGTCACTCAATACAAATTATCAGTCTCAGTAGCCTCAGACATTAATCAATGCATCAACGTTAACAACAATAACAATGGCGGATTGGCGGACGGCATCACTACTCTGATACGGCTGACCCTGTCGGTCTGTGATCCCCGAATAAGGAGCCAGACGATTATGTTAAATAACATTATCAGAGGGGGCATTGGAATGGACACCATATGGATATCTTCACCTGGACATCCAATGGATATCTTCATGTGGACATCCTATTGTTGTTCAGAGTGTGTCCATGGACACCTTGGACATATAATGGACACCATATGGATTACTTCACCTGTACATCCATTGGATATCTTCATGTGGACATCCTATTGTTGTCCAGAATGTGTCCATGGACACCTTGGACATATAATAGACACGATACAGATATCCAATGGACATCTTGTGTTATTAGGGTCGAGACCCAAGGTAGTGTCAATGTCATCACTTTAGAATGAAATTCAATAACCAAGTATTACATAGTCACAAAAGTTGAGAGTTGGAATATAATAGTAGAGGGTACATTTCACACTATAAACAGTGATGGATCCACCGGAAATTGATTGATTTATTCACTCTACCTGGATGTCAAATGGCTGTTGCATTAGGACAGGGCGAAATTCATACAGTCTACTCCATTGAAACTATACTTCAATATAAGTAATTCAAAGGGACAAGTTTCGAAGCTTCAAAGCTTCATCATCAGCATTAGGTTACATAGGAGCACTAAAGAGAAAAACAAACAAAATGTCAGACACAATCCTTCAACAACAGTTCTAACAAACTCCCTGTTATGGAGGAAGAAATTTATGTTTACATACTCATGGAATGAAAATGGGACATCACTGGTAAATAATGAGAATTAATAAAAAGGAGACCGCAAAATAAATTACTTTTTTACCACGGCAGCCACACCGAGTGAGTTCCCTGCGTGCTTCTTGTAGGGTTTTCCAAGATATTTTCTATTCAGGTTCAACTTTTTTTTTTTCATCCCCAATTAGCTGGTGATGAAAGCACTTGCAAGAAATATGCTGACAATTCATTATTTTCAGATATTTTTCATGCAACCCTTGTTTTTCTAATGGGCGCCATGTTTTTTATATCGTTAAATAGGGTTTGAAATCTCCTTCACAGTATAACATGTGTCGTCATAAGTATAAATACTCCTTACATTATAATGCCAATCGTAGCAAAAGGCACAGAAAACCAAGGATACAAAATTTTTGTGAAATGAGCAAGATACCTTTGTGTGTATTTAGATCTATGGTTTAACTGAAATTATTAACCTGAATTTTCACGTTTCCAGAACGAATAATGATAGGTATCAAATTCAATGTTTAAGGATTTGTTAATTTATCAACATATATCGAAGCAATGAATATTGATCCATATTACATTGCATCATAAAAATATAACAATACTAAAACCAATGTCAAGAACAAATCTTATAAACTAACTGAGAACCTTCAATGATAGGTAACGGTATCTTGATTATTTAACGAAACATTTTTATTTTTGGTTCTTCTGATGAGCATTTTCCCCATTTTTGCATAAAATTGCAGCGTGTTATGGCTATGAAGAAGTATTGATACTGTAGTCATCACGACTGATATTCTGTTTTCCTATCATCATGGCCTACCAGATTTGAAAGTGTGTTCACTGTTTTTTGG